TATAGATGTTGCCGAACTTCCTGAAACTGCATTAATTCAAGAAATAGTTAAAGAAGAAGCATTGGTGTATGTTGCTGGCTACGTAGTCCACCACTATAGAATAAAATATTCCAATTTTGGAATACTTACTCGTAAGATGACTCTTACTAATATTCCATGCTGGGTAGTTCACGTGTTCAGAGGTTTATTGTTATATCCTGGCCGAAAATTGAAAAAAGTTGCAATGGTTTTAGAGAAACTTTTTTCTCAATGTCACGGAGATGGGTTGTTAGATACAGAATATATTTTGGAAGAATTAACAGCTTTATTAAAATTAAATCTTAATTTTGAATATTCTTTACCCGATGAAGTTCTCTCATGTCTTGTTAGAACACGGCCGTATGTAAGATAAAAGCATCTTAATAAAATGAGAAAATACTCTTATAATAAAATAAGATACTACTCATAACTTTCAAATACAAAATCAATTAATATATTTTTTAATGTTAACAGCTTTATTCATGTATGCACGTACATAAATAAGTTGTAAAGTATTTTTTTCTGTTGAAAAGTATTGCATCGCTTGGAAATCAATATATATCTTGAAAGTAAATGGTCGTTTTACACATGGAATAAATAAAACTTTTTTAAAAACTGATAAAATATTAACCGTATGATTATTTAATTACCCTCAATGGTACCTATAATATCGTACATACTCGTATACATTCGCTGTATTATACTCACTTTCCATTTCATGAATAGCTTGTACCGTTAAAAATTATTTTACTATCAGCATTGTCGTACTAGTGAAGCATAGAGCACTTCTACTCATCTTCTACTGCTCAAGTAATTTTGAATCTATTTGTCTACTTTCATTGGCTTACACTCCAACATGGACGATATTCGGATGAGTACTCCTATTGGATGAACTTGGATCTGTCGGAAAGCAGTGCGGTAACCCACCTCTAATACTTACATCATGTTTCTGACTTTGATACAAGCAAATTTTTCGTTTTGCATTGTTTTAGCAGTGGATTGGTTATTTCGGAAAATATGATGTTTCTATTTGCAATTTGTTTGTATGAACTTCAGGTTTCATTTGTTTAAATTAGTTCTTAAGCTGAAAAGTATTAAGTAACAGACCTTGACTTTTTGGCTGAGAAAAAGTTGGTATATTATACCTTCTTATATTTTTAGTCTATTTTGAACGTCTAAAAAATTCTTTAGTTTTTTGGTAAAGTTTTGAGCATACGGGCATAAACCGACTTTGACTCTTCAGCCATTTTCATAATGAACTTACTGACTGCATGAGTTATAAATAAATTTTTTTTTCTGACGTCCAAAGAAGGAAGTTGCTGAGTATTTTTCCTGTATTGTATACGAGCAGAAGTAAATTATTTTATTCATTAGCTGTAGAAACCCCCTTTTTTTATCGTCTTAGTTTAATATGATAAATTCTGCTGGGTTCAACGCAGTAAGGCCTGCCCTTATTACCTGATTTGGAGAGGTTACCTGATACTAATCCTTGGGTCCCCACTGATAGATTTTTTTAGCGTTAAGTATTGGGGTTTCAAATGTTTGAGCGATTTCTGAGCAGAAGTAATTTTTGATGATTTTTTTGGATTATTTATTAAGGCCTTGCTGACAGATGCTTTCTTATTATCGTATGCCCAACTGTTTTTGTCTTTTAAAAATTATGCTATCTCTTTCAATTAAAGTAACTATTCCTGAACTGTATATGCTGTTTAGAGGTGATTGCAAATCGCTTCCATAACCACTGCCTTTTGGTAACTTTGATCCATAGAGAGAGTGGCTCTTCCACGATCTAGATATCATTCTGTCGTTTTAATGCCAGCTGCTTGATGATCTGCTGCTATTTGCAAATGGAGTGCCTTTTTGACCAAGCCCTTTGTGATCAGTTCTGCTTCACGTGCTGCTTGGGGTACAGTAGAAAAGTGTGTCGATCATTTTTTTAAAAGTTGTGACTTCACCAGCTTTTGTACCTAGATCAATGTGTGGAAGGATTCCATAGTGATGATGAATATAATTTTTTTCTGCTTACTGATGTCGCTACTTATCGCTGTGGAGCTATTCTCACACTTTTACTGCTTAAATATACTTAACTTTCACTTTTCTAATCTAACACAAAACTGTAATGAGGCTAGAGAGTATGTTACGAGTAGTTGTGAGAAAACTATGCATGGCATCCTCTGGTCAAAAACGCATTAATGTCAAGAACTGGATTTCTTTATTTCACCCAACATAGTAGTAGATGCAGCATTGAAATCATAAAAAAACGTACACGAAGAAGGGTGCTATTAGTTTTTTACATTATAAAATGTCTTATTTTGACACATTTTAGGAATAAAATAAAAAGTAAATAAGAAAAGAAGATCTTATTACAGTGTGCATAGTTATATCTTTCTTAATAATCATTTATACCTATTCTTTTTAGTTTTGGTTCGTCAGCAGTGCAAGGCAGTTTATTTTGTACTTATAAAACTGGATTTTGGGAGGTGCATCAAGTACTCTATATAAAAGAACGTTATAACTTTTTCCCTATTACTATAAGTCTGTCTACAATATTTCAGGAATCAGCAGTGTTTCAATTACTTATATGCACTTATAAAATTTGGTTTCTCAAGAACATTAACAGTATAGAAGAATAATAATAATCAGTAATTTATTCCTAGTTTTAATCAAATTTTCGGGGAGTGACGGAAAACGATAGGACGATAGAGTTGGTGTTATTATGATAAATATGAACTTTATTATAGGGTACTAAAAATGAATAGAATTTTTTAAGAGAAACTAGGAAAAAACTAGAAAGTTAAACGGACTTAGAGATATACATAGAATTACACTCTAAGATATGCAGTGTTTTTGATTTCATTTATACTGCCAGCGCACTGTTAGGTTATTCAATGACAAACATGCTTAGTCTATGCAACTACCATAATCTTTTATTGATCAGCAGGCAGTTATTATAGGTAGTATTATTTACAAACGCGATGCCTCTCCAATGGTGACATACTGTGCCCATTCGTTTGTACACTGAGAGAAATTTTTTATAAATTTTATGGTAAATGCTCATTAAAATTACCGTACAGAACGGTAAACGTGGGGCTAGGTTGTCACTCTGGACTTTAGACCTAACTTTAACAATTTTTACCGTTACACCCGGTAAAAATCATCGGGCGCCCAAAAAATTTTTTTTCCAAAATTTACTCTTAATGTACAAGTAAGTCTACGTTTTTTTAGTTTTTGAGACAAGTAAATACATTAGAGATGTTCTATTACCAGAAATCATATTGAAAAGGTCATTGATAATCTGGAAAACAGTGATGACAAGGTTACTCAAGTGACGGTGTTTGGCCAATTCTTCCCAATAATCGATGTAATATTAATTACCAAACATTAGGCAATATTATGTACACAGTCTGATGATTTCAATTTTTTTTTTCTAATGTGGTAATGAATTAATTTTTCAAGTCCCAAAAATATAATTTGAACGATGTAAATATGTCCCACGGAAATTGATTACCTTTACTTTGGTGCAATCATCCAAAACTTAAGAATTTATAAAATTTTTAATATTATTAAGAATTTCATGAATAAAGTTCTATTCTTGGTAATAATTTCATCTAAAATTTGATTCTCAAGAAGTTAAAAACAAACAAAGTAGAAACTGCGTCATTTTATCTCTTGAAAACTACTGTGATATCATATTAGTATGATTCATTAAAATTTTCCAAAACGCCTTAATTCTTAGTCTAAAGGACTTACTAAATTTTTTTTAAAGTCATGTTATCAAATACTCTGGTTGTTATGATTGCAAAATGGTTAATAAAAATTTCAATTTTAAACTTCCGTAAAAAATGTTTAGATAGAATAGTATAAAATAGATAAATGATTGTAATACATTAAACTTAGTAGTTTGGTGTGCTCAAAACGAATTTCAAATCAGCCCAAAGACATGTTTAGTGCCTGCGTATGAGAGCTCCAAGAAAGTTTGATGCATGCAGATCAATTCAATATAGGTGTACATATATTTTCTGTTTACACGTACCTATAAGCGTATCAGAGAAGCTTGAGAATTATTAGTATACGCAAGAAATCAAACGTGTATTTGGGCTAGGAGTTCGGTATGTTTGAGGCGTTTAGGTACACCTAACTACTACCTCAAAAAATTTAGTAGCCTTAATAAGTGGAGATTTCACATCTTGTTTCCAAGGTACCTATATAAATGTACAAAAAGTTTCACATATTCTTGTATCTTTACTTCCCACATTTGTAAAATAATTAGAAAATTCCTTAAGTTAATACGTTACGTTTAAAGTTTAATGCCATCCATTTTTATATGGAATAGCTGGGTTAGCGTTAAATTATCGCGGTTCTCATGAATGAGAATGGTATTTTGTTAATAATGCAAATATTTTAAATAACGATGTATTTTGATTTTTTACGATTTTTGGATACTTTTATACTTGTTCACGTATGTATATCCACTTACTTAGCTAAAAGTTGTAGAATCTAGAAGTATATACAGCAAACTAATATATTATCATTAATTTACACCCAGATAAACATATCTTCGATATTCAACGTTTGGTTTTAATTGAAAAGTGTTATTTAAACTTTCTTATGTAACCGCTCAAATATCTTTACATACTGTAGGAAGAACTATGTACTTGTACTTGGTGATTACAGTACTATTAGTAGAAACTGAATAAGTACTTTCAAGCACTGACTTAATTTAAACAAGTGGCAAATACATACGTGAATCCTAGCTACGACATAAATTTGGAACTCGCAGCAAATAGTGAACAGCAATACCGTCAAATAACATTCTACTTTAAGTACTCTGAATACTTAGCCAGATACCTTATTAATTTAGTAAAATAAAAGATTACCTATATTAAATTTAAGAGTACCTTAAGAAGTACTTGATATTTGATGGAATCGCTGCTACGATTTGGCTGCTAAGTAGATTCAGCTTTATAGCTACGATTTGAAATTTATCGATTGACCCATCTTTTGAGGGCCTCAGACCACTCGGTTTCACTGTCATCTCGCTTTTCTCCTTCTGCCTCTTCTCGTTCTCCTGGTTGTTGCTGTTGCACCTGGTAATCTTGATTATATTCCTGGCCATGGTGAAGTGAGGTTTGGTTAGAGTTGTGCAACTGATTTCGACTGTGGGTCAAGTTTTGATTGTGAATTTGATTTTGATGTTGTATTATTGCATTCTGATGGTGATTTTGAACTTGTTGTTGGCTCAGTTGGTTGTTATGCTGATTATTGTGTGTCTGATTGTTAAGAGCAGCATTACGAGCACGCAGCTCAATAAAGAAGTCATTCTCTTGTTGGAATCTATGCTGCAGCTCCTCGTGCCATATTCCAGTACTACTTACACCAGAATTTTCTTTGCTACTGCCACTATCCTCCCCATCTTCACTGACTTCAAAATCTGTGGAAATTACCATTTAAACTAGTTAAAAAACAATTTCATCGACTTATTGTGTATAATTTGTGTAGGGGTTCGACACTATTTTTTGAGTGAGTAATCTAGAAGAATTTTTTTGTTGGATTTAGTTACTAAAGTCATTTGCAATGGTGAAAAACTGTAGGAAATGCCTTCATGGTTGAGACAGTTTTAACTAGAAAAAGAAGTGTCAATGTAAATACTGTTAATGCTTACAATTCCAGAAAATAACTCAACAGTAGTCCAAAAAGAGCCTGAAGGCTTACTACACTAAAGAAGTACCTCTATTCTATAATAAGCTAAATAGTAACAAAAATGACTTCGGCTTGACCGTTAGTGAAGAAGTAGAGTAGTGGGTACTCAAAATTCATTTACACTGTTGCTTGGAATAAAATCGGAAATCTGAACTCAAAAGAGTCAGTTTCATTTTTTTCCCTACCAATTAGAAGAATTTTGGCAAATAAATTTTTTAAATTACGATCAAATCATACAACAAATGATTTAACTGTAGCTGGAACGTTTTTTTACAAATTGAAAAAATTTTATAAACAACTGTCCGATCTTATTTTAGTTAAAGAAAAGTTTGTTTGTGGGTTCTAAACTTTTTTTACAATATTTTGGACTCTTGAAAAGACTGAAACTTCGCGTTTTCGATGATTTTAGGCTGTAGAAGAGATTTTTAAGCGTTCATAACTCCGGTTCCACTTGTGATACAGAGTGCACTTTTTTTATTTTAAAGGTTATAAGAATAAGTTTCAATAAACAAATAATTTTGAAAAAAACTATCAATAATTTAGGATTGTTATTAACAATTTACTTAATTTTAAGCAATTGCCTTCACTTTGTAGCGAGCTCGAAGTATAAAAATTGTATTCTACGTCAAATTTTCTTTAACAACACTTTTGTGATCAATGGACAAATTATTATTACTGTCCAAAAAAAATTAAATAACTTCGCGTACTAGGTCGCGTTGGTGCACGAGTTTCACTGTATGTTCTTCTAACTTATCCCTCATTATTTTTTTTAAATATATTTGTATGAATAATTTACATTTTTGATAAAATATCCCCACTCGTTTGTTAAAAATTTTAATTCTTTGGCAAGGATACTTAATAATTTACTTCTATACATTTTTTGTTACTTATCGCTTCATCTAGTTTTATTACCTAGTTTTGAGTTTTTTTTCAACACTTAATTTTCATTCGTTACCCTCATCCTGCTGTGCCACGGAAAAAAAGCGTAAGTGCAGCCAGTGTCAAATTGAGAAAATTAACAAAAACTATTTATGTTAAAAACATGATAAAAATCGAATTTCTTAACACCGGAAAAACTGTTTCTAGGGTAATTAAGGCATGATCTAATCTCTGCACGCGAAGAAAAAACGATTTCCCGAAAGGGAAAACAGATACTGCACTTACGGCTTCTCACTCACACACTTTTCTTTGAAAAAAAGCCGTAACTGCACTTACGTTTTTTTAACCAGGTAAAGTCAATGAGCACAGTTACACAATCCAACGTTAAAAAGCCGTAAGTCTCATTAGAATACATACAAATGCAGTTACGGTATTTTTCAGAGGGAAAGTATGCAAGAATCAAAACTGCAAGTACAAATTTTCATATTTTCTGTATAAAAATCAACTTTATTGTGCTGAAAATAAAGATATCATCCCTTGTTTACTTTAAAAACAATTTTTAATAGGTGAAAAACTATGCATGCATGACTAATTTATTTAGGGTAGCTCCCTTGCAAAAACTTATGGAATGAAATATGTTTTATTCAATAGATTTTAATCCACTAAATCGAACAGTGTCCTTGTTTATACCCCAAGTGGAGCAAAATCTCGAGATATTTCAGCTCAAAGTTGTACCTTTGGCACAAGCTTATATAGCAGAACATAAAAAAATCAGCTTTATAGTGATTTCCCCACTCACAATAAGAAATCTGAGCAGAAAAATTATAAATTACTTGTAAAAAAATCATTGTTATTCTCAATCCTGTCATGTAAAATGCTAATAATGGAACATTTTCCAAAGATATTTGCCAAGAAAGACGTGAAAATCAGCTTAATGGTTATAAATGACCGACGGTAGCTGAATAACAGCACTAATATACGCATTTACGTGTACACACACAAGTGAACCTCTCCTACTTGACTAGAGCAGTAGACTAGGTAGCGACTTTAATGAATGGAAATTGTTTGAGTCGATTTTTTCTCTTACTATTTTAATGTTTCATAACATTATTTTAGTATTATGATTAATTTTATTTTTTAAAAGTGAAAAATACATTATTTAAAGGTTTTTTAATATATTATTTTCACATTTAAAAAATGCTAACAATAATAAAGGTTGGACTGTTACATAAAGAGTAAGTATTCATTTGAAATAATTTTTAAAAGTTTTATTACAAAATATACAAGTTTTATTTTATTTTATGACTCTAATGGTTATATATTATGACGTTACTATCCGTCGGTCGTATTAGCTGCTGCAGAGCCAGCGTATATATATGTATACACGTGAAATTTGCTGCTGCTTTTTAGTTACGCTTTTTTTTTCTTGTACAAAGAGATCTGCCTTAATTATTATTAATAAATGAAAAGAGATATTGAATTTTTATAAATGCCATTAAATAGGGCATTCCCTGACAAATCGATCGGTATAAATAACTCATTTTTGATAAAAATGTCATTTACGGCTTTTTTCCATGGCATGGCAGTATCAATCTGCTGTTTTGCCTACACAATTACAATTACATATACTTTTGTTACTCTGGACATAAAGTATGAGTAAATATAGTGACGTCTCACCGCTTTTTATACTTCTTGCAAAGCGATAATCGACTGCTTACTAGTTTAGTTTTGTGTGACGCAGAAGATAAGGGAGCTTCTCTGTAGTTTTGATTTCTTCGGTTTTTGACATATTGAGATATCTCTATTCGTAACTTTGGTTTTACAGTATCAAAAAAAGTGTCAATACAATTTAAAACAGTAAACATTCGTAAAGACAACTGTTTTAAAAAACCAATCACGTAAAAAGAAGAACCTTCAATTTACGAATAGTAAATAAACATCAACTACTTGTTGTTGACGTGTAAAGAAAGTCAACAAAAAAAATTATGAAGAGGACCAAAATAAACAGTTTGAAATGATATGTTACTATCATAATGTACAAACATACTTTAAAGTCTTTGTAGTTTTGTGAGTTGGCTCGTCGATATTATTAGCAAAGAATTATAATTTTCATAGCCATAAATAGATTATAACGATAATAATACTAAAATTTTGAAAACTCTGCAAGACAGTTTTTACATGAGTCAACACTAAACGGTCTCGTCTTAATAAACGAGTCAAGACAGAGTTAACGGGTGAACGATCCACTTCGTTCTTTAAAAGGATTATTCGATAACAGAAGCTCTACCAAACATAATTTGTCGTTATTCCAGTATTGCTGAATATGAAAAAAAAAAAAAAATACTGAAATAACATTTTCAAAAATCATTGACAATTAAAGGAACTTAAACATTTTACAGTATGATTCCCATCTGTCTTCCAGCGAAACAATTTTCATCATCCGAAAAAAAGTGCAGTAAAAATTTTTGATTCACTAATGTTCATATTTCAAGACTTAATCATACTATATACTACTATATTGTGTTATAGTTATAAACAAGGTTCTTTTAATATGGTACTTACGTATTAATTGAGTGGTTTTTATTTCAACAATAAAGTTTTATATAATATTAATTACTGATAGTAATTTATCAAAATTTGTTTTGAAGCCTTTTTACTAAAGAAATAAGGGTATTCAATTATGAATATAAAATACTCAGGTATATATATAAAAAAAAGCAATTAGAGACAAGATAGAAGGGCATACAGTGGGTTCTATGGGCATAAGTGTGACGTAGCGCGCGAAGTTAATTTTTTTGATAGTAATAACAATTTGTTAATTAATTAATAAATCGTTTTTCAAAAAAAAATACTGTAGAATACAATTGTAATACTTGGAACTCTGCAAGATTAGGTGATTGTTTAAAATTAATACAATCTTTGATTGTTGATAGTTATTTTAAAAAATTATTTTTTTTAAAGCTTATTTATTTACTTTTAAAATGAAAAGAAAGCTCTCTGTAGCTTAAGTAGAACTAGAGTTATGAATGATTGAAAATCCCTTCTGAGGCCTGAAATCTCCAAAAAACGCAAAATTTCAATCCTTTCTCGAATTCAAAGTATTGTGAAAAATAAAAAAATACATACGGCTTTTTTTTAGTATAAAATCCATTAAGTAAACTCACATATTTTTCCCTTATACGTGATCAAATTCTTAGTATTTGTATTTTATCCAGCTAAACTCTAATTAGAACTGGAGTGGTAATTAGGACATTGACCTTAAGTCTATTTTGATAAGATTTATGAATTTTATATCAAACGTTTGGTCAGAAAATAACACGTAAAAAAATTATATACTAAAAAATGAATTTTAGAGTATTTTAAAACGATTTCTTTGTTTAAAAAGTTAGGACGACAATGTTAACTAAAATGATCAATACAAAAGAAGTTTATTTTTTAAATATCTTTAACTTTTTTATTTAACATTAGACATGCAAAGGTAATGTAGAAAAGTTAAATGCTGTAAAACGAGTTTTTAGCTATTTTAAAACGATTTTTACTGTTTATAGAACTAAGAAACATTATAGAGAAAAACTTACAACACAAAAATGTTTCATTTCAATGAACTTTAATACTTTTGTTATTTATGTGATTACGTTGTTTTAGAATTCAAATGTCTTTTATTCTCTAACAACCAATGATTTTTCCGATATTTTCGCATTTATTTTGCATTACAGAGTAAAATGTATAACACAAAAAAGTTTTATTTCGTTGTGATCTAAAACTTACTGCGTTATTAAAAATTTTTTACCAAAACATTATATTTCCTGTAGCTGGGGATCGTCCCATCGGCAATAAAAAATAAGTGAACAAAACCTATGAGTTTCTATGTATATTTTGCTGCTAAATATGAATTTGTTGTTTAGAAATGGGGTATTGTAAACTATTTTAAAGATTTTTGTTTGTTTTCCTGAATCAGTTCACTTTCTTCTCAAAGGGTAAACATAATTTTAATTAGAAACTTAAAGTATGTGCTTGTAAGTATAATAAATTACAAATTAGGTGATAAAAATGAAGATAACTTACCTAACGGTTTCCTAATATTGTGGCGGCCAGAATCAAGAGATTGAACCTCTTCATCTGAATCTGGAAGGATCAAAGAGAAAAGATTAAAAATAGATAAGTAACGTGTATCTTGCTAGAATTAGGATTTTTACTTAAATCTTATTCAAAGCTAACTATAATAGCTTACATCTACCTAATGCTGCACAGATATTTTCACTGTACATGTTACTGTTTAAATGAATAAGGGAATATGTTATTCTTGTTAACAATCGTTTGACAAGTTTCTAAGGCAACAATTTTTTAAGAAACATAACAAATTTTTTGTTAAAAAATAAAATGAGTAAGCTGAATTTTAAATTACCAATAATAAGAGGCCATGAAGGTAGAAGTTAAAGTACTGATGAATTTTAATGTCATATCTTCGAATATTTTGCTCTGTGAAATTAACAAGTGTATAAGTATTATGAATGTATTTTATCTGTTCTACAGTATCTCTTTCGTCAATGCGCAGATATTTTTTCGAGTCAGTGCGATTCTGCATTATTATCAATATGTATTTAACAATAATACGTGAAAGCTTGTATACGTATCAATGATCTCTATACATATGTGTACATATTACTGTACGTATACATAATACATTTTTACTTACTTTAGCGAAACTACAAAATAAAGTATAGAAATGTTTTTACCAATGCTGTAATGTATTTTACTAAACAGTACATTACGTGATTTAATCGGCACATCGGATCCGAGATTTTAAAGATCATGGTTTTTCCATTATGATAAACTCAGGCTTAGAGTTATAAGAAAAATGTTACTAGTTACTATGCTCACATTTTATTATATCCTCGATTAATTGAGATTAATCCAAATCTGTATGGCTAGAATAGGTGGATACTCATATTGCGTTAAATCTAAAATTTCAGATTTTTAAATAACTGTGCAAAAAATTGTTTCAAAAAATCTGAAGCAGCTCAAAGATTTGCTGTTCATTTAGTTGCACTCATATTTTTAAGAATTTAGGAAAAAAATTTATTTTAAGACCTGAGACAGCTGATATACGATATTTTAATTTTTTTACGCTTGGGAGCTGCTTATATTTATTTCTCTGACATCCAACCCACTTTGAAAACATTATTATAAGTTTACGTTTAACACAAAAGCAGGTAGAGAAATTTTTTTTTTTTAGTTATGCTTATTAACTGTAGAAAAGAGAGAAAACTATAAATAATATAAGAAGACAATTAGACAAGACTGTTTTAATTTCACTATACTTGGCTTGGAATACAAATAACGATTACATGTTTTTTTCAACGTGTTTACATCTAATAGCACAATAAATGTATATCGTTTTACTTGACTGTTTCTATAAGTTAACTAATAAAAATTAGCCTCCTTAAAAGGATAATACTTTGATGGTTTGTATTATTATATAACTAACAATAAGCGTTATTTGAACTTCTGTATGTATTAGTATCATGTCATACAAAGAAAAATAAAAAATTATATATTTAACGTAGTTCATCACAAATGTTACTAAAAAAAGCGTAGCGCACCAAAAACTTTATACTTACATATAAATTGAAAAAAAGATGCCTAGTATTTCTGTAGAATGTGATGGATCGACGAATTGTAGAAACGAGTCCATCATTAATTTTGCAATTCACACACCAAAGCCATTTTTTTAATAGTAGTGTACAAGTTAAGTACAATATTAAAGATACTTCTGATTTATCTAATAAAATGAAAACTGTTATTGATGAAGTCGGTCTATCAAAAGTTATGACAGTTAAGGCTGCTTGAAAAATTCTCAATAATGATATTTTTCCTGACGAAAATATCTCTTTTTACGGTTGCGCCTCAGATATTCTAAATCTTTTAATTTAAGATATTTTTAAAATTAATTCATTAACTACCATTACAAAAACTGCACAATCTATGATGAAAAAAGTTAAACGTAGTATTTTTCTGTCTGATTTATTTAGGAAATATAACAATATGATGAACATAAAGTAACGACTACTTTAAATAATCAAGGGAAGACAAGATGGGAGTCTTTCGTTATATTATTAGAGTTTTTATGTAAACAAACATAATCTGAAAAAACTTTTCATATCAAAAGAGATGCAAGGACAATTTAGTAAAGATACCAAAAATTTGGTTTTAAGTAGAGATTTTTGAATTTTAATAGAGAAAA